AAATAACTAAATTCTATGTATGAATTCATTTAAGTGATGTTAATTACCTTTACTAAATATATGCCTGCGTGTGCATAATAATTTTTTTAATTAAAAAAAAAAAAAAAAAAAAAAAAGTCCAAAGGATCGATCGGAAAGCAATATTTGAACAATTCTGATCCAGAACAAATTGTGTCAAACTTGTTTTTAAGTTCTGCTGGACGATGATGTCTGATGACTCAATAACAACAGAAGAAAGGCACACAAAACATACAATCAATCAATGTGACTTGCTTTTGCATGTAATGTAACACGTTAACAGTTTAGGTTTGTTAAATTAGCAAGTTATAGAAGAGACACAGTACATTAGATGGAAAGATTGATTAAAACGGTCTTTATAAATTCACCTCAAATCGTTTCTTAATAACCATGGTTTGACTCATTTGCCTTTATCTACCATAGATGAATTTGACGCCAGAACGACAGTTTAACTGGAAATAATCCACATTTGTTTCCACCCTTGCGCCGACAGAAGCACACTGTCAGCACATATTTCCAGCTGGATGAAAGCTAATTGTTAGCCAGTTAGAGCTTGAGGAAGTATGTGTCAGCTGATATGCTAACAGGGCGCTAGCGCTGCTAATCACATAAAGCTAAGACTTAGTGTATTAGCTTGTAACGCGCCTAGATGCTCACTCTTTCTGACGTTAAATGTGGCACTTTAAGCTAGGCAAGACCACATCACAATATGTATGCTTTAGTTACCCTCGCCTTAAACGTAAAGTTAGCTTGTGTTTGGTTAGCTCTGCTGCTAGCTTCATAGTAAAGTAAATGCTAGTTTAGCGGTTACGCTAGCTGCTGAAACAAACAGTTTTTCACTGTTCGTGCCGTCTGCATGTCATGCAAGGACAAAGATTTCGAAGCGTCTCACCTATTTCTGTACGCAGTAGACATGTCTGGACAGGCGACGGTGTTTTCCTTCAACAGTTTCCAAAAAGGAATGAATTATTGGCCAGAGGGAAGTCCTCCTTTCGCTTCCGTGTTCACAGCAGCAGCAGCAGCACAGTGGGCAGACACTCACAACATCCACTGTCAGCCTGCGAGTCACGGTTCACATCACCTTCCCCTGAACCGCTCAGTAACGCAGGATGCACTCCAGGTCTTTTGTTGTTTCAGTAATCTTCTGATAACGTGTTGTTTGCAGAATTGTAATTAATGTTCAGATGATAGCTACCACTTCCCAAACAAATGAGTTGACTAATTGATTATGAACGTGATGCTGTCAGCAGAAATGTTACTGCTGCATCAGTTCTGTGCATTTATTTGTTGTAGCAGATCCTCAGTCAGTAATGTGTGGAAAGTGACATACCTCCTGACAGCCACTAGAGGGAAGAAACGCTCCTGGTGTTTGATTAAATAGGTTCTGTGCGTAAGACGTATGATGAATGATTAGGAAGGAGTGGGTCTGGATCATAGACTGTCTATGATCTGGATCTACGCACCAGGAGCAGAACCCAGAGGTCGACACAGACTAATGTGTGGCCAGCTGCACAGCCAATAGTGAACTTTGAAATAGATCTGCAGTTATGTCCAGTAACTACTACTTTACTGGAAGAACTTTATTACAGATCCATTTTACTTTTTATCTTCTGACTGTTTTATTCCTTCCTTTATTGTCTTTTAACTGTCTTCTTTTACTGGGTTTTATTCCTCTGATATATTTTTATTTTCTTTTATTCTCTTTCATGCTTTTTGTGTTTCACCGTCACCATTTCTTTGCTTTTTACTTCTTTTATTGTCCTTATTTGTTGTTTTCCTTACACTTCTCATTTAATCTGTAAAGCACTTTGTAACCCTGTTTTGAAAAGTGCTATATAAATAAAGTTTATTATTATTATAATTATTATTAGTTCATGCCCCTTGTTCTCATACAGATGCATTTTAACACCACAGCCACCTCCATTCAACCACATACAGCCAAGAAGTTGTGACCAACCAGAAAATGTTGATACAGATTTTGTTTGAACATATCGTTTAAAAAAATGTGAATAATTTAGTTTCAGCTGTTGATTTAGCTGAAACTTTTGGAATTAAACTTACTGAGAAGATTTTGGAAACAAGTGGTATAAACTGCTGAAGAATAACAAAAAAATAACCACGAACCGGCAGCCAGAAAAAAGAAACTAAAGGCTGGATGGACTAAATGTTGCATCTCATCTAGATGGGTGTGCACAGAAAATTAGGACACTTTTGACATTAGAGTCTCGAATGAACTTTTCTTATCCATCCATCATCTATACACTGCTTAATCCTCACTAGGGTCGTGGGGATGGGGGGCCTGGAGTCGATCCCAGTCAGCCTGGACAGGTCTCCAGTCTATCACAGGGCTACACTTAGAGACAGACAACCAAGTACACTCACATTCACACCTACAGACAATTTAGAATCACCAATTAACCTCAACATGTTTTTTGGACTGTGTGGGAGGAAGCCGGAGAACCTGGAGAGAACCCACACACCCATTAAATTTTAATTATCTTGTGAACTTTATGAACAAGTAAAGAAGCAGAACTTTACCAACCTTTCCAGGTGTTTAACAACTGATGGCTACATTAGCAATCTTGCTGTGCTTTATGTGAATTTTTTACAGACTCGTAAAAGAATTCCTAGAATAGAATTCATTTTAATTTCATCGCACAATGTGTAACAAAATCAGTCTGTTTCTACACTACAGTCCTGCTGGCATATGTAAATAATAAGACTGAATGGCCAAAGAATGACTTTGTGTCACACAGTGAAAATAAGCTGAAAATATAATAATGAGACATTGAGCCACCCCAGTGTGAGTACCGGTCTCAGCTGTGACACTCCTGTACAAATGTGTAGTACTGCCACTGGTACACGTTGGTTTGCCTCTGATGCTGGTGACCTTCATTTAGCTGAACATTGAAGATCCTGGCTGGACATTATTGAAGACATGAAAATACTCAAACTAATGCTTTTTTCCTGATATGGGTTTTGCACAAAAAGGTTGGATTTACCTTTGGAAAGAAATCTTACATCTTCTCCATCTCTCTTACTGAAAAAATTCAAAACACACAAAACACAAAAGTTGCAAATGTAACACATGCAAGTGAAAACTAAAAGTTGGCCAAGTATGCCCCCTGAAATTTCGCCACAGATCTGTGACTGACAGTATTACTTGGCTCAAAGAAAATAATATTTGTAATCATTTCACTTTTAAATGATATTGAGCAGGCGTATACAAAGTTTAGATGTATGCTACATGTGGGCATTGGGAACATGAATGTCCATCCATCCATCCATTATCGATACACCACTTAATCCTCACCAGGGTCACACCTACAGACAATTTAGAATCACCAATTAACCTCAACATGTTTTTGGACTGTTGGGAGGAGAACCCAGAGAGAACCCACGCTGCACGGGGAGAACATGCTAACTCCACACAGAAAGATCCTGGGTGTCCTAACTGGGACGCGAACCATGGATCTCCTGGCTGTGAGGCGATGGTGCTAACCACTGAGCCACCTTGCAACCCTGAACATGGATGTGTTTATTATAATTTCCTTTTCATCTCTAAATGAGATTTTGTGGGAACAAGACACTGAGCTCGATTAACCAAAAGTAGAAGAATAAACCTTTAACCATGACTAAAGGCATCAAGAGGTTTTTAAGTGGACCAAGTGTTAGTCACAGTCTGACTACATTATGCACTACAGCTGGCAAAGTGAGACTACTGTCACAGCGATCAAGCAGAGGCAGCTCTTAACCAATCAGTACGACAGCTCAAAATACACAGCGTGAGGATCATTACCCTACATTTTTCTCTTTTGTTGCCTGCTCCACATCAAGGTTGTTAAAGGTTATAGGCTTCTTAAAAAACACATCTTGACATAAAGCTCTGTGCCTTTCATTAATCTGTTCTTTTGATGACAAGATGCAGTTTCTCTGTCACTAATTCATTACTGCAAGTCTAAGCACTGATGCAGCCTCTTTTCTAAATGGCACTTGTGTAAGTCATTCTTTACAGATGATCTGGCTGATTATGCTGGCATAGTGCAGACATAAATACACACCGGCTGACATTTGCTTCCCCCCCTTGACAGCTGCAGTGCTCCTGCATGCCACGCTGCCTGAAAACACATAGTGATGGATATGCATACATATGACACTATGTGGGAGAAGACTGTCTGATGCTGCTCTTATTGCAGTGCAGTGAGAGATGGCATGTGTGCTTGCATGTTGTCATTTTTACCCTCAAAAAAAACATGTTTGGCTCAATGACACATAATTGTGCACATGTTCCTGTGCTGATAGACAAAATGTAAGGAAAGCTCTGCAGAAGATTCGGCGGTTTTACGGCCATCGTTTTATTTTATTTCAATCATCTGTTTCAATCTGTGTTTCAATCTATTATTTTACTCAATGTAAACTTTTAGTAGTTAGCCCTGTACATAATTGAATTGAATTGATTTTTTTTTTTTTTACAGTACAGCCTACCCTACATGATACGATTGGGTTGGTCTGATCGTAACAATGAAAATTAAAGCAACAATAAAAATAATAAGAATATTATTTTATAGCAGTGTCACAAAAACGTGAAAAACACAAAAAAATAAACAAAAAAACGACAAAAAACAAGTTTGTTTTGTTTTTTAAAAAAAAGATAGTAATACAATGGCAGTCGTTTCCGGTGCAGGAGACAAAAACAACAACTACTACCACTACCACTAATAAGAACAACTACTACTACTACTACTACAACTACTACCACCACCACTAATAATAACACCACCACTACTTGTAAAAACAATAATAATGCATCGGTTACTAAAATAATGAGAGATATTAGAGAACATTTCGGTGCACTATGAAAGTTAAATATTGGAAGTGGAAGTGGGAGGGAGTAGAAGAGGAGGAAGAGGAAGAACAGGAAGAAGGGAAGAGAAAATGAGGAGGAGGAGGAGGAGTAGCAGCAGGGGGAGGAGGAGTCTGTTTGTTGACATCGGACGAAAGCGAAAATCAGATGAGTGAAGACGGGGGATAATACATCCATTTCTCGCCGTCATCAATACACACAACCTTGGCGAAAGCTAAGGTAAAGCAGCAGCTGCGGAGCTGTGCACTCTGAAACCACTGACTAATGTTTGTAACCTGCATTTCCACACATTGCTCTTCGCTAGCGCTAGCCCCTCTTGCTAAGTTGGCTAGCATCATAGCAGAGAAAGTCAACGTTAGCCACAAGCTAATTTAGACGTGAAAATGCACTGGTGACACCGTATCGACTACTTAAGGCTTAGCCTATAATAGCAGGTGTCGGTCTTTGGTTTTTTGGCTTGTTGTGACTGAGTACACGGATAATTGTTGTCTGTTTGACAGCAGCTATCTAGCGTTAATGTTGTTAAAGTAAATCATTCAGTGTAGCTAGCTAGCCAGCTAGCTAACTTGGTGCTGTGTCTTACTCAGACTTTATTGCTATGTGTGGTTAGCAAACAAACAAGTAGTACCAACTAAAATCTAGAGCTTCCGCCTATCAGCTGTGGTCATTACGTAGAATGTTAATATGGTCAATGCATTTGTTGTCAATGTTGAAGCAAGTTGTTGCAAAGTGGTCAAGATTAGTTGCTAGCAGTCGACAGCCACAGGGACGACAGCTAACTGGTTGGCAAAGGTGTTTGGTACCTGCAAAGAAAGTGCTCAGAGAAAGTAAACATGCTCTCAGCTTCTGATGGCAGTATTGATTGACAGGATAATGGTAAATGGATTTTACGTTATTTCATAGAAGGAATGCATTAAGAGTTTATAGGAAAACATTCACTTTAATGTTCAGTTAGTGTTTTTGACGTGACATTTAATTTTTGGATTGTCATTTTTTAAATAAATGATGGCATCTGTTACTAACGTGATCCAATGCCAAGTACATTTTACATTGGAATTTTTATTTGATTTTATTTTTACATAAAAGCATCAGTCAATGCAAAGGTTAGTTGAAAACTGTAGTAGATCATTCTATTGTATTATCTTCTTATTACTTATTTATTATTTCATAACACCCTCTATTTTAGTTGTATGTATTACTTTAATAACCAGCACCATTCAGTCCTCACATTGGAATTATACATTTTTTAAAACTTGGATTATCGAAGGAAATGTTTTTGTCTTTCCCATTAGAAGTGGCCGATTGTGAACAAAATTACTCCTGAACCTTTGTTGCCTGTTCTCCTCCGTAGGTTCCCTGCACTGCCCCATCTTTGATTTGAGCCAGAAAAGAAGAGGCTAACATGGCAGCCAAAGCAGGTGACAACCCCGACAGCCTCATGACTCTGGCTACAGTCTTCTGCCTGAAGAATCTCAGGAAGACCATGTGCTACCAGGGATTCAGGAACAAGCTCTGCCTCCGCTCGGACATCTTCCTTCCTAGTGAAATCTGCGACAAGCTGGTCAATACGTACGTAGCAGGATGCATTAATTGATTTATGAATTTTCAGTCTGTTGGAGTACCCCCCACTCAACCACGAATGTTTGTTTACAATGTTACAGATTCTATGTCTGAACGGAGCTTTTCATGTCATGTCGTTAAACAGATATATGGAGTTGGTCCACACAGATAGTAACTTTGAACCAGAGGAGAGTTTCTTCCAACTATTCTCAGACCCTCGAAGCACCAGACTGACAAGGGTACAGCTGAGAGAAGACTTTGTGCGTGACAGAGATCTGGAGGCCATCAGAAAACAGGTAAGATGCTGCAAGTTAGTCAGACTCATGTTACAGAGTAAGCTGATGATATGTTTAGTTGAACTTTTTCTTTTTTTCTAGTGTATCTGTGCAGAACATCTTAAATAGAAGATATAGACTTGAAAATACCTGTTGTCATTACGTTTAAAGTACTATTTCTTTTGACAACTTAATCTTATTTTTAGAGCTATAACAATAATAATAATACATTTTATTTATAATGCACTTTATATTTTTGCAATCTCAAAGTGCTACAGGGTAAAACAAAATCATTGTTTTAATCAGGTTGTAATATCAGATGTTATCAGATGGAGAGATAGACAAAAAATGCTTTAGTGATTCCAGAGTCATCCAGTAGCGTAATACAACACATGCTAAAACGGATACAAAATTCATTCGTCACATTAAGGGTGGACATATTATGTGATTACCACATAATGGAATATGTGTGGAATGTGACATCTGTCACATATGCTCAGTGTGAACCTGCTCTCATCCGTAAAGAGCACAGGGCACCAATGGTGAATCTGCCAACCTTGGTGTTCTCTGGCAAATGCCAATCTCCCTGCACGGTGTTGGGCTGTAAGCACAAGCCCCACTGGTGGACGTCGGGCTTTCATACCACCCTCATGGAGTGACAGTTTGAGCAGAAACATGCATATTAGTGGCCTGCTGGAGGTCATTCTGCAGGGCTCTGGCAGTGCTCCTCCTGGTCCTCCTGCACAAAGGAGGTGGTAGTGGTCCTGCTGCTGGGTTGATGCCCTCTTATAGCCCCCTCCACATCTCCTGTTGTACTAGCCTGTCTCCTGGTATCTCCTCCATGCTCTGGACACTGTGCTGAGAGACTCAGCAAACCTCCTTGCCACAACTCTCATTGATGTGCCATCCTGGATGAGCTGCACTACCTGAGCAACTTCTGTGGGTTGTAGACACCACATTATGCTACCTCTAGGGCTGAGAGCACTGACAAAATGCAAAAGTGACCAAACGTCAGTCAGAAAGCATGAGAACAGACACATGGTCTGTGGTCACCACCTGCAGAACCACTCCTTTATAGGGGTTGTCTTGCTAGTTGCCTCGCACTTCCACTTGTTGTCTGTTCCATTTGCACAACAGCAGGTGAAATTGAATCACAATAAGTGTTGCTTCCAACCTGGACAGGTTGATTTCACAGAAGTGTGACTGACTTGGAGTTACATTGTGTTGTTTAGGTGTTCCCTTTATTTTTTTGAGCAGTGTAGAAGGCTGCCTTACTGCATGATCCAAATCCTCGACAAAACTACAAGTTTTCAGTGTGCTCGGTTGCACAATAGGGCCTTGACGAACACTATGTCGAGGCTACATTATTTTTGTTACTCTACTGTACAAACTTTGTTCTCAATGATATCCTGAAAATCTAGCACATCTTTTGGCACACTAATGTACCAATAGATATTACAATAAAGCGAATATCCTTTTCTAATAATATATTGCATAGTACAAAATCACTGTATCATCTAAAATTAAATGGATAATGATCTGTAGCAGTCTTGTCTGAAAACCTAACCCTGCAGTTGATTTCAGTAGTTTGTTCACTAATGCAATAATTTATTTTGTGTGTTGTGCCAGGATCTCATTGAGCTCCACCTCACCTACTGCAACAGCCTGTCATCCCGCAGCTTGAAAACACTGACCTGCTTCCGCGAGACCTTGGTCTCTCTTTGTCTCTTCGGCTGCAGCCAAATCTTCTACAGGAAGGGTGGCGCCCCGCTCGCCTGTAATGAAGACACAGAGGATGAGGAAGATGAGAGCCCTGCTTCTAGGCAGGCGTTAGAGACGGACTTTAATTTCCAGGGCTTTAACCGCCTTAGGTTGCTCAACCTGGGTGGACTACCTGATGAGATGGATGCGGAGACCCTGCTCAAACCCCTGAAGTCACTCACTTCACTAGACCTGTCTAATGTACAGTTGCTTGGAACAGCTTTTTTCACCCAGTGGAAAGACAGACTGGCTTCTCTTGTTCTCTACAATGTGGACCTGTCAGACGAGTTGGTCAGTACAGTGGTGGAGCTGGTGAATCTCAGGTAAGGTGGGATGAGATCAGAGTGTGTGAATTCAGGGTTTTTCTCTGTGAGAAAAGTACTGGCAAGGGGTAGGGCAACATCTCATCCCAGCACTTTATCAAAAAAGTGCTGGGATGAAGTGCAAGGGCTTTGTTTCTATGGCAACAATCAACAACAACGACAGGTGTATGACAGGATATCATCATTCGGAGCTGTGGTAATTTCTGTCTAACATATTATACAGCTCAAAATAGACATACTCAGTGTCCACTGTTTTCTTGGTGACCATGGTAATGAGTTCGACTCACGATTGGCAAGAGAAGTAGCAAAAGGGAGGACACCACCACTTTTCTGAAATTGTCTGAGATTTTCAACAACAGCATACACTCCCTCTTCATTGGAAATAACTGAAAAAGGACACTGTAACTAAATAGAAGAAGGCCACTGTGTGGACACTCAGTCATGCCTCCACATTTACGTAATAGCTGTCATTATGCTTTCAACACATCCTGGTATGTCAGTTCTTATGTATTGCCATCTAAAGGTACCGGCTTCACATACACACAATAAAGGACAGATTACTGCACATATTTCATTCACATTTTACAGGAACAACATGCCCCTACTGCTGGCGGTAGAAAACTCCATCCAAACATTACATTTACTGATTGGTGCAAAGTGTCACCTCTTCTGACTGTAAGCACCATAAAAGAGGTTGAGTAATTTAAATTGCAAGCAATCATTTGATTATCTTTAGAGCAACATAGTGGGATTGACATTGAGATTAAAAAATAAATAAAAGTAGCTGCAGACTTTGGTTTTGTGCTGTATCTAGTTTTAAAAAAAAAGTATGTGATTAATCACTCAGCATATAAAGCTGCTAACCAGGATGCTGATAAATGTAAAATATCACAATAGTTCTTTTCTATATGAATTAAGGGTCTTTATGTGTACATATCTGTCTTCCAGTTCTTTAAAATTATAGTAACACTCAGGTACAACAAGAGATGGATTAAAGTGTGTGTGCAGAATCTTCCACAGCTGTTCATGTGCTGAGTAGCTTTTACCAGGAATTGCAGGCTGGTAAAAGCTCGCAGCACTGGTGTACAGATAGGGAGGCCATAGGTAATGTCATAGGTAATTTCATCTGTTTATGTTATCAACAAGCAAATGACTAATGGGTAGAAACATTTTGCAGGTATGGGTTGCCCTTAAGAGGATGTTTGTAAAGCCTGTTTAGCCACTGCTTTTCCATGTTTTACTGATCGTAGTGGATTAAAGAATGGGTTTACAATTTTTTAACATCTGTTCCAATAGAAGACTTGTTCCTACTGTAAAGACAATATCAATATTTTTAACATTTTTAACTGACTAAGCTAATTCCCATGTATGTTTAAGTCCTATGTTTGTAATCCCCGTTACATGCCCACTAATGATTTGAGAGGAAATGTATTCATAAAAACAAATCACTGCTTCTTTAGGCATCTTGACATCTCGCGGGAGAGCAGGCGGACTTCAAAGTTTAAGATGACGAGGAAAATCCTGACGGCCATCGTACAGCGTCTGGTCAATTTGGTGTCACTGGACATTTCAGGTCACGTTATGCTGGACAACTGCACAGTTCCGCATTTTGAAGAAGCTATGGGGCGTCCAAGGTGGTTAACCAAGAGTGTGAAATGAACCTATATTCATTTACCCTCAGATGAATGATGACGTTCCTAACAAGCCATATGTTTCTCCCCCTTCAGCACTGAACCATGTAAGAGCAGCATCTATCCTTTCCAGGAGCTAAAGAGGCCCATGCAGTTTCTCGGCTTGTATGACACCACTCTCTGTAATGTGACACACATCCCTGCTTATAAGGTACTGATTATTTTTTATGCCTAGGTTTATACATGATAATTTTCTTTCACACCTAATGAAACCCAAGTTGGATTGATTACATGTGACTTGTTGCCTTCTACTTTTGATGCTGTCGTTCTCCCCCATTAAGATTTTTCAATTTGTAAGTCTAGAACCAGCACCATCAATGTCACAGGTGTGAATTAGGGGGAAAATATAGTGTCCTCTGTGTTTTATTTTTTACCTCTCCAAAAACATGCGCATTCTTTCCTTGTTTTGTCACTAAACGTGTCAGTGGCTCTTTTGCAGCAGCTGAATAAGGTATAAATATTAGTGTATTTGTTGACCGTTTTATTTATTTATTTTTTAGATTCATCAAACAGAACCACACATCCAAAATCCATTGTAGCTTTTCCTATGCATTGATTTATTGGTGACAGGGACCACCACTTTTTAATTTCGAAGTCTCAGTCATGTAAGGCCAGCTTAGCCCTAGTTCGTCCCATCCTGGTCCGCCTGCAGGTGAACCAGGTCGCGAGTCACTCAGCTGCCTCTGCAGTCATTATGCTAGTGAGGTTTCACAAAATGCTTAGATATAACCTAAGACAACACCTGATTCTGGGGATCTGTCATAACATTTAACAAGGTGTCCGTCACTAAATAAGGACTGTTTATCTCATCTCCTTGAAGCAGCCAGTGTTTAAAGAGGAATAGATTAAAAAGAATGAACACCTCTCAGTCATGCTTATAAACAGCTTGTGTTTTAAGGGGTTACAGCAGCTCATCATCAAGCTCTGCAGAAGCCTGATAATGATCCCGATCATTTGAATCAGGTGTGTTGGAAGAGGGAAACATCTAAAACATGCTGGACTCTCGAGGACCAGGATTGGACACCCGTGGGTTACAGGGCTGAACAGTGGAACGTGCTGTATATGTCACACATGCCACAAAAAAAGCAGTCTGTGATGAATAAATTGTAGGTCCCATGCAATATAGTTTTGCAGAGACACTTGTATACATCCAATATACATACAGTATACAGTTCTAAGAAACAATGCTATGATTGATGATGAGGTTGCTTTCCTCAGCTCGTCAAGCCAGCTAGACAACAAAGGAAAATGAAATGGTATTTTCAATAGCTCAACCAAACCACCACCAGGCTGCAAGGAAGAAAGGAAAGACAAAATGTTGCTGAATATAATTAGGGCAAAATGCAAAGAAAAAATTAAAGATATCTGGCTGAGTAGAAAAGGATTTCCCTCGGCTAACGTTAGATGTGAAATAGCAGCTTTATTTCTGTTGCTTCAAGAGTGACTTGATAACAGGCTCATTTGAGATTTAATGCGTCTCACTTTGAAAGCGGAGGAGAGAGCAGCCACAGCAGGGGGTAGAGTTAAAAGTAGGCAGTAAAGTAGGACAGTTTCCAGCAACCTGTCGTCTGTACATGAAGTAACAGAAACACTCACATACTGTTAGATCTGATTCTGATTTAATAAAACATAATCAGACATGAGTGATTTGTATGCTGTTTCTAAATGTTCTAATTATGACAGAGTAGCCTATTATACAGGTAATAGGTGATTTCTGTTTGTGAAGATTCTGTCATCCAGGTCATGTTTATTCTGGTAGATTAATTGTAGCAACTGGACTTGCTTGAGTTCCTTGAAGACGTTCCACCTCTCATCCAAGAGGCTTCATCAGTTCTGACTGACTAGTTGGGAGTTCCAGATACTTATATCCTTAAGGAGCCATTAACACCTGAGTTTCGATTTCAATTGGGAGTAGTTGCTCCTCCCCTTCGTTATGTGAGTCGTTAGTGCCACAAAGGGGCTCGAACCCCTTAAGGATATAAGTATCTGGAACTCCCAACTAGTCAGTCAGAACTGATGAAGTCTCTTGGATGAGAGGTGAAATGTCGTCAAGGAACTCAAGCAAGTCCAGTTGCTACGATTAATCTACCAGGTGATTTCTGTTCAGCCCAAATTCTACACAATTTATTGCGTGAATTAGCATCATGTCAGTTTGTAAATTTGTATATAAATTAGCTGAGCAGACCTACAAAACAGCATAAACAATCGAAAACATAAATTAACAGTCAAATAGAGCAGCAAGAAATGCTAGAAAAGGCCTTTTACTTCTGATCTGTGAGACATTTAGACTGTCAGGGCTGAAATATTTTAAGAATCGTCACATCAGATGACCAGACATTTTTCTGTTATGCAGTTTATGATCTGTAATATAAACAGATTCAGCCTCTGACTGATACTTCTGACCGACTGATAAACCTTCAAAATCAGACGAACAAAATCCAAATCTCTCCGATTCAAGTCAAATACAAAGTTTCTATTAAAGGTCATACAGGTGAGCCATCTTAACCAATCAGCTGTTAGATCAGGTAGGAATCCAATATGCAGATTTTAGCCAAATTCTGCAGCTGCCTTGATCTCGTGAGGTTATCATCAATAATGAAAAGAAGTTCTTTTATTAAGTTATGTCTGCCCACACACTTACAGATTTGACTTGCTAATTTAAATGTAGTGTATGGATGTTGCTTGGAAAGACCTATGTGATATTAAGATATATAGACAAAACTGAGTGGACTTGGAAAAAGAATGACTTGATGTTTTGTATGGCAGACAGTGTTATGTCCCTGCAATGTGCCTTTTATTGTCAAACATTTCTTATTAGGTTCTGCATTTCGAGTGCCCTGTATGCAACATTGATGTTTAAGATGAAATGCACCACTTGTGGTTGTTTTTAAAGATGGTCATAGATGTTTCCTGTTGCCTGTTCTACAAAACTGTAAACCGCTCTCATACTACCACTGTAAGCAAAATAGGTAATGTACAGCCCTAAGTTAAATCTGTGTCTTGCTGGATGGATTTTCAGGTGACTGGATCAAAAAATGAAGACCAGGTTCTGAATGCCATCGAGGCTTACACAGAGTTTCGTCCTGAGCTGGCCCACAGAGCCATCAATCAGCTGTTTGACATCGCCAGGATACAACACTGTAGCCAACTGCTCCGGGCTTTGCAAGTAGGAAGCTGGGTTGTTCTTTGAAGGAGTGATGCCAGAGACCTTCTGTCACATCTTTTGCTATGATTCTGCATGCTTTTGTCATTCATGTCTTGTAAACTTTCTGTCCTTGTTTCAGCTTGTCATAGCAGCACTAAAGTGCCATAAGTATGATAAGAGCATCCAGGTGACGGGCAGCGCTGCTCTGTTCTACCTGACCAACACAGAGTACCGCAGTGACCAGAGTGTGCGGTTGCGCCGAGAGGTCATTCAAGTGGTACTAAATGGAATGGAGCAGTACCAGGAGGTCACTGTAAGTGTACTCTGTCTTTTATATGTCTACTACATTCACAGATTATTGCAAAATGCAATTATAGCTATTATAGTCAACATTTGAAGATTTTTCTGTCTTAAAACTCGCACAATTTGCACACAACCATGCTCTTATTCAAGCTTATCCATCGAGAAGTTAAAAAAGAACAAAACTTTCATCCCAACAAGCCAAGCAATGTATTCTTGTCTTCGATCACTTTTCACCAAACTTGTGTTTCTGAAAATGTTTCTGTTCAGGGATGCAAGTAAATAACTATCATCTTAATCAAGAAAATATAATGTGTTGTACTATTTTTTCTGTTCCTTTGTAAAACAGTAAATCAGAACATTTATGGAAAAATATAAATTATTTATTGCTTTAAAAAGCAATTAAAAAAAATAAGCGGAGGGCTGCGTTTTTCACCCACTAGAACTGGAAATGTTAATGCGCTCATATGGCGAGTTTGAACACGTTTTTACAAAGAAATGGTACCGCTCAACAAGACAACTGTCTGAAACGCTAGAACATCTATGCGAGGTCTGATAACCATCTCCAGACAAATATTTAATTCTCTGCGCAGTAATGCTGCACCTTCATCCACGGGATCGTGAACAAAAGGACATGCCATGTTAGTGGAAAAAGTCTCCACCTACTGTGCCTAATGGACTTCTAATGTAGCCTACTGACTGATTTTTAAAAAATGATTTTTGACAGATGGTAGAACTAGGCTACGCCAAAACCCGCTTGCTGACTGAATGAATGAATGAGGAAATCAAATGGTGTGTGTGGTTGAAAGAGGGCGGAGACAGAGAGAAACTTGAGGTTCACTGAGAAAAACCTGGTCCCGACCAGGTTAGGTTCATAGAGTCTGTTACTATGGTAACTGACCAAAGTCTTAAGTTACCTCTCTCTGTTAAACAGGCTAGAGTTACCCCTCTTCCTCTGGTTTGAGTTACCTCCCTTTGTGAAACGGAAAACTCAGAGTTTCCTTCATTTCAGGGTTAACAGACAGTTTTCACTAAACCTGCTTTGTGAAACAGACCCCAGAACATTGCCTGAGACCACGAAGTCACTACAGAAAGAGAGACAACCACATTTGAGCACACGTTTGTTTATTGAGAAAACTCAATGAATATGTGCTCCGATTGTCAGGTGATCCCTGATTTCGACATTTGCATGTGTTACTTTGCTTTAACAAAACCAGTTGCATTTCCATTTTCAACAAATGTTAATGTTTGTGGCAACATTTGTCGGACCGTATGAGATTAAAACTGTGATTTGATGGCTGCTCAGACACTAGTTAGATTGCTTAAGAGGGAACATTTATCACAACTATTCTATACTCATGCAGTTGTTAAGAAAACCAAATGATTTTCCAGTATCAACATCTGCATTATGTTTTTGGCTATAATGAAATTCTCACAGTGTACATGCATATTAACAGTAATTCAGTCAAACCAACTTCAGTACCTCCTTGGTTCAGTTCAAAATGCTGAATGCATACCCATATCTGTACTTTGTATTACTTCATTTTTGTCCAGAAAACATTTTATTTAAAGCATAATTTTGATAAACATTATTTTATTGTTTTGTGAAGGCAGAATCACTGTATGGCTACTTAATGTAAATGTTTAAGAAGCTTAGCTTTAGCTTCTTCTATGAAGTGACAGAAGGGGTTTGTAGAAAAACATACGCAAGACACAAAATGAAACTGATTCATCTTTTTGGTATTGATTTATCATGATTGGTGTCTCTGTGTTCCCTGCCCCTTTCCCGCACCAGGTCCAGAGGAACTGCTGCTTGACTCTGTGTAACTTCAGTATTCCAGAGGAGCTGGAGTTCCAGTACAGTCGAGTCAACCAGCTGCTGCTGAAAATCCTTGAGCCGGCCCGGCAGGATGAATCCATCCAGAGAATCGCTGTTCACCTTTGTAATGCTTTGGTCTGCCAGGTGGACAACCATCACAAGGAAGCTGTGGGAAAGATGGGATTTGTCAAGGTAACATTAACACGAGTGTTACTGTTTAACCTTCTCATATTCCTGTCCACAAAAACGGTTGTCTGAAGTCCTGTAGTGAAAAAAAAGTTATGAGTTACATTCTTTTGGCATTAGCTAATTAATGAAAGTCTCTCATGTCCACAGAATGGGTTTTTTTTTAAAATTTTCAGCTCAAATACTGCAGCCTTGGTTCATTTCATAATGACTGTATCACCCTGTTGCTGTCCACACCTCCATTCATGAAGAAGCCTGACTTAAATGAGTTTATAGGACCAGGACATTCTGTTTCTTCTAACAGTCTCTGTGATTGATCCTTCACTTGAAAACAATAATGCCAAACACAGCACAACCGCTATTTTTAACATATGTTTGAGAGTATTTATTGGTGCAGACCAGCAGATTGAAAATGCCTCTGAAGTGATCACAGGTAAACATGTAGTCATAATTGTCTGCGTTTTAGTCACTATTTTATACTTATTCAAACAGTTCAAACAGAAAAATATGTCAACAACTTTATTGGGAATTTGACGGCTATAAAAATACATTAGACACAGTGACCAGGAGAGAAACAAAGAGGTGAAAACATTGGCTGAATTAAGGATGACAAGCAACAAGAAAATACAGTGATCTACCCCGTCTTTGGTTTTGATTTAAAATTCCTTTAAAATTTCAACCGTCTCTGAATGTCCCTCAGCTTTACAGTTCGGACAAAGCTCTGACCTGTACATAGACAATTGATTGTAATGATAATGTTTGCCACATTAGCTCCACAACGTGCTGACTCTGAGAATTTTCCTATTATTGTAATGAAAATGCCATCTAAAATAAAAACAGTCCACTGGGTCATCAATACCTCAGATGATGGGCTACTATGTTCTTTGTTGTAGCCAGCAACAGAATATTTGGCACAATTTCCTTGTGGCAGAGACATTTTAGAGTTAGCGGAAGCAGCAAATAAATAAACCTGGTGATCTGTGAGGCAGCTGTTCCTTCTGATTGGCCTTTGGAAGCACAGCGGGTATAGGGGCAGGATTATGCAATTTTTTAGCTAGATGTCTTTTGGTTAACCAGTTTCTCTGTTTAAAAGGGATAAAATTCTTACTGGCCTATAAATCTGGGCAGCTATCTTTCCAAGTTTATAAAACATACAAAACAAAATATGAAACATTTTCACCATATGGGACCTTAAAATGAAAGTCTGCTGACTCGTCAGTTTCATAATCATTTTTATTTCTGTACAGTTGTATTGGTAGAGTAGTTGGATATACAGGTAAATGTAGTGAATACCATGCTTGTGGTGTATTCTGCATTTAAAACAAGTCTAATATCAAGAAGTGATATCGAGAAAGCATCAAAGGGAGACTGAAGATGAGTCAGAGCCAGGGGGTGGAGTGGAACGAGGGCAATGCAAGATTGCATCATTTTCAAAATGGAGTTAAAGTACTGATTAGTTAGGATAAAGGTAATAGTAATGGACCAAGAGTAGCACCCCATTGCAGATAGCAAAGGGGCTTGAGTCAGCACGATCAGCAACTTTGTGAATGTTGCATGGGGGGGAAAGAGTCAAAATATGTTTTTGTTGTCTATAACTGCCTCTCCTTCTTAGTGCATTGTGGCCTTGTATTCTGGCAGCGCACTGTGCTGGCAACTCAAGTCTGCAAGCACACATGCCAGTGGGAATACCGTTCAGGACAATAACTCATACAAACTGAAGCACAGTGTCTCGCTAGGTTGTAAGGCTTCAAACTGGACTCATGGTTTGAATTTGTAGCAAGTTAGCCCTTATGTTATCTTGCTGTAGTGTTACTGTCTGTATGAAATCACTGTCACACTGTTGTCAGGTGCTGATTATTCTTTTGTTTAATTTGTTTTTTCTTTTGTCTCATTCTTAGACAATGCTGAATTTAATTCAGAAGAAGCTACAAGACAGAATGGTGAGTGTTAGTTTTTTCCTTTTTCTATTTTGAAAATGTATTACTTTATTTTAGACATGTGTCTTGTGCAGCAGTACTGTTGATTATTAGGCAGCCTTTTTTTTTTTTTTTTAGCAGACAACAGCCCTGAGTTAACTAAGAAAAATAAGATGATCATTGTTTGGTTGCACTATAATCCTTATTCAGTTGAATTATTATTCAATTTTCAATTCTTATTGTTGTTTGTCTGCCTCTTCAAATGTTTGCTTCTTTACAAAAATGTACGTGTTTGTTTCAACCCAGTGTGACCAGGTGATGGAGTTTTCATGGAGCGCTCTGTGGAACATTACTGATGAGACACCTGACAACTGTCAGATGTTCCTCAACTGTCGGGGCATGAGTCTCTTTCTGGAGTGTCTTCAGGTGAATGCACACTCAGCCATACTGCGCCTCTTGTGTCTTACCTGAAACCATCTGTTCCATACTGCAGTGTGTATCACATTCAAAACCATGCTTTAGTATTTGGAATGTGATTATAGACACATGTCAGTATAAACTGTTGTAGTGTATACCAAATTGAATATCACACCTTTGAAACAATAGGGGAGTGATTTCTTAATATTTCCACTGTGTAGAAAGATAACTCTGCTCTCTTTATGTGGTCTTACTCAGGAGTTTCCAGACAAGCAGGAGCTTCACCGCAACATGTTGGGTCTTTTGGGAAATGTTGCTGAAGTCAAAGCTCTGAGGCCACAGCTGCTCACCCCACAGTTCATCACTGTATTCAGGTTAGACAACTGAAACCAATGGAGAGTAGAACTGTTTTTCAGTCTGACATTGCCTCCTCTCTAAGTGATTTCTGTGGGGATTGATTTTCCTGAACCAGTTACTAGAGACCGATTTATTCACCTGAAACGACCCTCATTTTAAAGCAACACTGATATGTCGCCGTGCCAAAGCAGTGTGGTTTTACTGGTGTTTTAAAAGTGGAGAACACGTTATCACTAAATTTGTTGATGAAGGGATCTTATCAAATTCAAAAATATTATCTAGCGACCAAAACAGTTCTCCTACTTGTCCTTTTCCTATTGTTATTACTTCACCTTGGTAGCCACAAGTATCAAATCTCTATTTTTTGTGTTTGGCAACATGAAACTAAATAGGAAGAGGTTCACAAGGCTCATCATCCTGACAAGTATTAAAATCAGGAGTTAGGTAAATGTTGCCATCTACCCATGTCAGATACATGATGTTTAAATCTGTTCACCCCCGCTGTTTATTGCAGTAACCTGCTGGATAGTAAGGCAGATGGGATTGAGGTGTCATACAACGCATGCGGCGTGCTTTCTCACATCATGTTCGACGGCCCGGAGGTTTGGTCGATGGAGGAACCACGAAGAGACACAGTAATGGACAAAATGTGGGATGCCATCCAGAGCTGGGATGTCAGCTCACGTCGCAACATCAACTACAGGTGATTTCCTGTTTGCTGTGTTCTTTATGATACCACAGCAGCATTTGTATGTATGTGTAAATATAAATATCATGGCATATATTTGAATGGGTTTAAAATGAAAAAAAACCTGTTGGTGTCTTTAGTTACTAAATTATATCTTTACAGTTATTGTATCCTTACACAGAGATATCATATTTTGACTGGCATAGGGAATTACTTCATCTAAGTCTAACTTCACAGTCAATATTCTCTTAGGAGTTTCAATTGTTAGCACCAATGATCAGTAAAAATTCTGTTACTTCTCTATAACAGTAACGATTACTTTTTTATTCATAATTTTAGACTTATAATTACATATATTTGTTTTTTTTGTTTTTTTGTTTTTTTTACTTCTTGAAGCAATAGATGTTGACCTAGCCCCAGGTTATGCCTCTAATTTGTTATCATTACATCTGAGTTACAGCCAATAATGTGTCTTTCTGAAAAATAAATACCAAAAGGGTGTTGTATTATCTTCAATCTTCACACAAAATGTATTCATATATTTGAAAAATATGTTTATCATGGAGCCGAAAAACAGACAAGAATAGCGTTGCTTGGTATTGTTTTTTGGCAAATTATTTTGAAAAAAAAAAAAAAAAAAGGTGCTTAGCTCTGTGATTCAAACAGAGAAACGCAAGAGGCACAAACTGCTGCTATGTATCTTGTTATCCAGCAGTTACTTTTTATTCAGCAAGTTCATGTTAATGCAAAATTAAAGTAGAACAAAATATATTTCAATGCTGGAAACTCACACAGGGTTGGGTTGTGATCTAGCTGTACGACACAGCTGTCAGTGACTTTTCCTCTTTGTGCATTTTAAAATTGAGTTTTGTCTCCCAGGTCATTTGAGCCGATCCTGCGACTGCTTCCCCAAAGCATCTCCCCTGTCAGTCAGCACTGGGCCACATGGGCTCTCTACAACCTGGTGTCAGTTTACCGTGAGTATCCAGAGGGTTTCCATACAGGAACCACATTTAGTGTGTCCACCACAGTACTCCTATGAGTCAGTACCAGTACTAGTGACCTGTGTGTCAGTTGCAGGTAGTTTATGTTACACGTGTTACAGCTAATAGATATACTGGTACATAATTATGCACTTAATAGATTTTCAAGATGCAGTTTGGCTTATTAACAATATTGCTTACTTTTCTGCTGTGTTGTAATATTACCTTTTTTTTTCCTTTTACTCTTCACCAGATTGTGCTTTAATTCAGTTAAACACACTTTCTTCACTGTTGTGCCTAAACTATGTTGTGTCCAGTAATATACAGGGATAATTCTCACAATCTTTCCATTTGCATTTTTTTTTTATCTGCAGCAAGCAAGTATTGTCCTCTGTTGATAAAGGAAGGAGGAATAAGTCTTCTGGAGAAAGTTCTGGAGCTGGAAAGCTCACAGCCGGAGACTAAGGACATGGCCAGGTACGACTGACAGCTCTGTGTACACGCTGTATCTTGATGTGCTTTTCAAACCGGTTAGTTCTGGAAAGCTTCTGTTTTCCACAATACATTCTACAGGTGATAAAAATTTTATTTTTTTTTTTACTGGTTTCAGATACTTGTGGTTGCATTTATTAAAAAGGGAGATAAGAAGTCTTAAGGCCAAGCTAGCTGTCATCTATTGCTGCTGCAGTGGTCTCAATACATACAAACTTACAAACTGATTAAAAAACTTTCACACCTGTTGTGCTGTTCATTTATGTATATGAACAAGGAAAAAAAACATTGTTTCCTTTTAGTTCTGGACTGTTTTATGTTCATACTATTGGTTTACAAAGAACAGAGCCATATGGATTGACAGGTCAACCTACATCCAGCTGGGCATGTAGGTAAATCAAATTCAGGTGACTGACAACAATAATCCATAAATATGCAGCCACTATTTTAGTTTATTGTTGTGCCAGCATTTCTGCCAACATACTGAGCTAACAGTAGAAGAGTCGGTTTTTTGACACACAACACTTATTCTTCACTCTTCTGCTGCACAAATTCGTGATATGATATGATTTTATTGTCACTGTACAGATTTGCCTTGGACTAAAGTGTTGCACACATAAGCTACCTCTCTAGCAAACTTTAAATTTCACACATTGAACATTATATTATACATATTGCACATATTACACAGCCAGCGGTAAAAAGTGATAAGAACAAGATTCAGTTATGCATCAGCATAATTGTGCAGCTGTACAGCTTTGTGCAATTAAATCTTCCATTTCATTGTTTCTGTTCTGTTTCTCACTGATTTTGCTGTGCATATATATAGCGTATATGCATATCAACGCTGTATGTCAACAAACTCTGTGTTTTAAAAACTACATTTTAAAGAAAAAATCTGTGTCACCAAGAACGAAGAAAGTAATTGATGCTCTAGCAGACAGACTTCACTTGTAGATCTGTTATGAAAAGGGGAAGTTTTCTTTTTCAAATCAAATCAAGTTTATTGTCATTTCGCTGTACATACACAGTAGTACAGGCGAGATGAAAGAGCGTTTCTTCAGGAGCCAATAACTTATAGAAATTTAAATAAACATGTGTTTGCATATCTGAATCAGCAGTTCAACATTCTGACAGCTTCTGGAATGAAGCTGTTGCTCATTCTGGAGGTTCTTATGGCGAGGGTGTGAGGAGTCCCTGACAATGTTCAGCGTCCTGCTCCCGCAGCGGCTCTGGAAAAGTTCTTGGACAGAGGAGAGGGAAACTCCAATGACCCTCTCAGCTCCTCTAACGATCATCTGCAAGGCTTTTCTGTCAGACATACTGCTGCTGGAGTACCATGTTGAGATGCAGTATGTCAGAACGCTCTCTACCACACCTCTGTAAAAAGTCCTGAGGATGCTGGCAGGGAGAGAGGCTTGTTTCAGCTTTCTCAGGAAATGCAGTCTCTGCTGGGACCATTTGATCACTGCGGTGTTCCTATGCCAGCTCAGGTCCTGCAAGATCTACACTCTGAGGAACTTGATGTTCTCCACTCTCTCCACTGTGCAGCTGCTGATGATTTTTGTATTAAGCAGAAAAAAATTGGAGCATATGTTTAAATTAATTTGCTTTGCTTCACATCACACTTCCTGCTTTGTGACTATATGCACAATGTTAGTGCTGAAACACTATATAATGCAGAAAAAATATATCATGCAGTAACATACTGTGCTGACATCCCATACCTGATAATGCTCCCTAATACAGCCTGGCAGAATAAAAACACAATCCTCTGTTCCACCCCATCCACCCTGAGTCTGAGTTGGAAATACAATCTCTGCTGCTCTGTTTATTGTTCGCCTGCAGACACATCTTGTATTGTTGTTAGTAGTCTGGTTCAGTTTGCTTGATATTAGTTAGAGTGTGTTATTGTAAATGGCTTTTGCACCTTAACATCCAAAATTTTTGGCAATGAAACAACTGTGGTACAGAAATGTTATTTATTGTTCAAGAAGCTCTTTGACAAAACCTTACCTGTAAATGTTGCCATTTTTCAGGAAAGTAATGGAACAGTGTGAAACCTTCAAAGAAGACCCCATGGAAACAAATCATGGACAGGAGGTAAACTATGGACAAAGAGGTTGACACCACAGGAGCCATTATTTCCAGCAAACATCGAGCAAACCAACCTAAGGCACCTCCTACAGTCATCACCACAAGGTTCAATTGTGTGCATTATTGTTATTCTTATCGTTCTTCTTATTTTGTAGAGCAGAACTGTGTCTCTGATCCTCTTCACAGCAGTTTGGACAAAACCTTAATATATGACACATAGGAGTTAAAACGTGGTGCATGGTGTTTTGTTGTGAGGGTGCTTACTTTTGCTGCACTTAAGCATCTCTTCATTTGGGATGGTGATGTAGGGCAGTGTGACTGTTATCTCTCGGTGTGTGTGCGTGTGTGTGTGTATGTGTCAAAGATTTAGCAACAGAACAAAACAGTGAGTAGATGCTTGGTTCTCAGTGGAGGGAAACAAAAGCCCTCCCCAGCTCACTACTGTTAACTGTGTAACATTGAACAAAAGGCGACAGGCTACGCAGTGTCCTGCACCACCATCAGAGGTCTCAGCTCTCACTCTGCTCTCTCACACCCGTTCATGCTTGTGGAGGCCACGGAGCTGTGGACACATGTACAGTGAATATTAGCCATTACGTGTGTAGGCTGCAGAGAAGCATCACACTGATGTTGACAGGAGGGAAGTCTTCCCAGATCATATGGCACGATGGTGGACTTCTTTGTTATATATGTAAATATTCTCTGTGTGTCTCATCCTCTTTTACTGTATGTTTTATATTATAACTGTAAACACTCATGACTTTACCTGTATTTAAATTTGTTTAGGTTTCACTGATGTATCGTCAGTGCTAAAAAACTATATACAGAACACCCAATCATTCAAGTGTAGACCAGCAATCCTGGAGACTCTCCTTTAGAGGGTCAGTTAGATGGAGTTCAACCTTGCTTCTGTTTATAATTATCTGGGACCTGCTGATTCTTCTTACTGGAAGCAGAGATGAGCTTTTATGAAGAGGGCGGTGAAATCACCCAATGCAAAAACACTTTGTGGCCAAAAGTATGAAAGCGAGTCCTATAAAGTCAAAGTTTGTTGTGGAGCAACTTCATTGACCTGCACAGAGGTGAGGTCAGCGACCACATCAAACACATTTGGATGAAGTGGAGTGCCATCTGTGACACAGACCTGTCATCTGAGATGGACCTGAGAAACCTGGAAGCAAAGCCAGGCTCATCATTTGGTAGAAAGACTACAACCAGAACAGTGACGGCAACTAAGGCAGAAGTTGAATGCATAAACACACAAGCAAATGATGATATTTGTCAGAAAAATGGCAATTAAGACATGCTTGTGTTTAGAGTGGAACCGTTTGAGCAGAGTATTTAAATTGACAAGTCCTGCTTCAGTTTATTATTCACTATGTAACAGATTGAAACCATATGATGGAGCATTACAACAATGAGATGCCATCAAAAGTGTGACACAAGGAGGATAGCCTGAATTTGTAAAACCACTAATACAAAAGCAGCAGTTTGATCCCTGGCTCAGTCATGCTGCATAACATGTGTCCTAAATTACAGCCTATATGATGTACTAATTGCATTGTTTTAAATTTTGATTTGAAATTGATTAATTGTTCAGCCCTACTTCTGTTGTTTAAATGACCTGTTCAGCTGTACATATAGGTATCACCTTCAAAGGTGTTGTATTTCTCGAACATTTTCAGAGCCAGGATGGACAGTTTAAAAAAAGGATGAAACATGTGGCAGACAGATTTCTTTACTTTACATGCTTGCGTTCAGCCCCCACTGACACTCCTGAGAGAGTATGTATTGAGGACATGTATCGACTTTACTCAGCTCCCATGCAGACACTAAAGGGTTTATACAACTTTTTTTCTTTACATATGCAGAGGTACTCTTCAAAACCTGGATATCAGGCCAACAGAAAGCGGATGAAGTTCTCCCTTCAGGTGTCCACAGACTTTGCTTAGATGCGCACATCATTTTGTGGTCTGTAGTTTCTGCTCAGTTTCTACATAGTGGTTTGTTTGGGACAGTTGGATTATGGGTGGCTCTCACCTTTTAGGCGATTTAACAAGAAGGTGTTGTCTTTTGCCCTGAAGCTTAACAGTGCTTCCAGTGGTCAAGTGTGATTCCAGATAATCAAAGGGGCAAGGTTGAAAAAAAAAAAAACAATTATCCATTACCACCTTATGGCCCAGTATGTTTACTGGGTTGGTCAACTTGCTGCTAAAGTAACTGCTTCATTCAAATCAAACACTTTTCTTTTGAGAGGCTAATGGGAGAAGAATTAAAGGGTGCGTTCACATGTTTGTTTTAACATTGAAACTGAGATGATCTGTTCATGAAGTAATATCTCGCCCCCAGAAATAAGGGAGGGAAGACAGACTCTTTCAGTGGTTTGACTTTGAATATACAAGAATCAAGTTTTATGCACACCTCCACTGAACAGGATACTTTTCTTTTTGAGTTATCACAGCTCCCACCTTCACCTTAAAGAAAAACCAAAGGCTGATTTATTCACCCTGTATGCTGTTGTGTCCTTAAAGCTACCCTGTGGACTTTCATCACGTTTCTCACCAAAACATGTCATATGTACCTCTTAAGGCCTAACAAACTTGTTGAATTCATTTCCATATAAAAATTTGAACTCTTACGAAGTGTATTAGTCTAAAACTATCTGTGCAAATATCTAATGCTATGCCTAGCGCTCTTGTATGTGAGCTCAAGTTATAAACTGAACAGAGACCCAATATTTACAGCATTACTCCATGGCACTAGTCGTGGTTACAAACTCCACAGGGTACCTTTAAGATGACTCCAACATGTTCCTTCACTGGCATTTAAAAAAAGAAAAATCACTGAAGGAGTTCCTTTATTAACAGCATTCCCAATCAGTGTCCCACTTCAGTAAGTGTATCCATGGTTATTAAAGGCAGCGTCTCACATTCAGAACTTATCATTGTACTGTAGATCTCAACAGTAGCAGTCTGCAGTCTGGATGGAGAATGGTTGCTTTTCCTTAGAGAGTAGAACACTTCCTAAGACATGGAAATACACAGCATTTTACTGTTTTTACTACCTTATTTAGATGTTTTAGTAACAAACTATTTTTCTCATTTTAGTTTAGTTGAAATGTATGAGAAAGACATTTGATTTGATTTCCACTGATTATCATTTGGTGTACCAAAAAGGTATGACCAGCAGATTTGGGAATGTTGCTATATGCAGTGATCAGAGTTGCCTTTTTATCCTTCCAGTTTATTTTGACATGGCATATCTCCAGATGTGTCCATTATGTCTCTATAGATCATAGTAACTTTGCACTCTCCACTTCTGATGTAGAGATTCAGAGAAACAAGGAGTCGCACAAAACGGTGTAAATTGGGGCAAAAATAGCGAATTCTATGCCACTTTCCAAACATTTTTACATGAACATTTGTTTTCAGTTTAAAAGTAAACAGAAATTATATGTCTGGAACAGACATTTAGCTGAGTGCATCGGGGATCTGCGTCCGGGACAACTTGCTGGCTAACATATTTAACCTGCACACTCATCCACTGGGTTGAAATAAACTGGAATTATTCTCTGATGACCACAGACTTTACAAGAGTTTAAACTCAACAGTCATACATCATGAATAGATTCTTACTATAATGAATGAATTAAGGTTGGTCTTTAATTTAAGTTTCATCATCTTAAAGTATTAGTGGGCAGAAAAACGGTAAACCATGGACAAAGGCTGTCGTAAAATTTGTAGACATTTAGAATTGAAAATGGAGCTAAATTCCTCTGATGTAAATGACAGATTGAATATTTTAGTGTGTTCAGTAGGGCTGAAACTAATGATTATTTTCATTCTTAATTTATATAATGTTATATATTTCGATAGACTGTATTTAAAGATGGATGACATGGCAGCTTTCCAGAAATGAAACCTAAATATCTTGGAAATGGAAACAGTAGTCTGTGCTGTAGTGACTGATGTTGTATCGAGGTCCTGCCTCCTGCCTGGCCAACGACCAACCAGGGGAGGAACCTGGATTAGACCCACAACTCGCTGGAAGGATGATCTCATCTGGCTTGGGACGTCTCAGGATCCCCCAGAAGGAACTGGAGAACATTGCTGAGACAGGGACTTTTAGGATGCCCTGCCACCGTGACCCAAGCACGGACAGGAAAAAGACATTGGATGAATGGATGAAGGAGGTGGACTCTCAATACCACGTCCCGCCTCCCTGTCACTACTCTACTAAATATGCAAATGGGGTCACCAGTGCAAAATGGGAGTGCTGATTTCTACAATATTTTGACTTCATATTTGTACAGTACGAGGAGATGTTGTTGTGTCGTCCATCTTTATATACAGTCTATGATTCTTTCATTTAGATGATGGTTTAGTGTGCCAGAAATTCCCTGAAACCAAGGTGATATGTTAACATTTTGTCTAATAGTCCAAGTTTCAAATATATTCTGTGTACAATTTAGCAAACCAGAGGATAAAATAAGCCCAATTAATGATGATCACATTTAAATGCTACAAATTTAATTTTCTCTCTGTAAATACCGGAGCCCAGTTTCTTTAGGTCTGTGTTTAAATAAGTCAGTGGTATGTTCTCACTTTGGTTTATTGTCAGAACATTGAACTGTTAGCAATGTGATTTAGTTTGACATGAATAAATAACCTGAATGTGGTTGAATTAACAGTTGCAGGGTTTAACATCTGCCTTTACCTGCTGTGGTGAACACAGTGCTTATTTTAATAACAGGATTTGGATGGTGGGTTGGAGCACAAAGCTTTTCACCCACATGATGCAGGGATTCCTAGGACCTTACACATCAGGCCAGTGAAGGAATAGACATCAGCAGCCATACTGTTTTCTTCCTCTCTGTAAAGTGTGTTGGTTTAGATGAACCAGGTCGGACATATTGCACAACGGTTTCTGCTATGTGGCACCACAGTGTGTGGAGCTTGAGCTGGTTCAGGATCTGCTTTGGCACACTGTGTGTCCTACGTAAGTAAGTCGACGAGTGATGCCTAACTCTTGTTTGTAAGCTACTTCATATCAGTTGTGTTGGTTTTACTCACTGACTTGATTTCCTGGTTCTCGTGTACAGTTTTTCTTTGTGTGATTTATGGGATCTGATTGGTACAGGTCTGTTTCTGTTGCTTTTCACGGTCATTATGGAAATAAACGTTGCCACCAGTTGTAGGCAGTGGTGTGAGATGACAAGCTTTATTAGACATTTGTTCAATTTCTCTGTCTGGAATTCAAATGTGTGGACATAACATGAAGAGGAGAATTTACCAGGATTTTGCATATGATCAAAACTACATCTGTTGTGAGTTTTTAACTTCTTAAGAATTGCACAGTGCTTGATTCAAGATCCTCTTTAGAGAACGTAGATGATCCGCTGGACATTTTCAATCACCTGTTCTGTCTAATTTGAAATCATTGGTTGTTTCAGTTTGTGCTTTCCAGGAAGATATTGTGTGTAAAGCTGAGAAGAAAACATTAGTCTTTGGGGTTGACTGTTCCTAATTATTTATGAAAATGTATGTACTGAAAATAGAAAAAAAAAAAAAAAGTTCAAGTGAAATACTGTTAAAGGAGAACTGCTGTGTCGCAAACTTTCAAATTTTAATTTTACAATATTTCTCGAGTCTGTCGACACTCTGTTATTGATTTCTTTTGTAACAGCTGATAAGTTTAATCCAAAATGGAGTGAAGAACATTGGATCCAAACAGTAGGGAGTTCCACTTTTTCTTGATCTTTATAGTTCCAGGACATTAGTGTAAAAATATGAGTAAGCAATAAAGATGGAGTGGTTAAAAAAAATGGAATCTTGTGTGTTTGTTTTTATTTTTTTAACTACAGGCTATGAATAATTAGTGAACTTGTGGGATAAAAACACATCACCAAGCACAGAGAGGACATTTCCATGGGAGACTTGGACTAACATCTCGCGTGTCTGTTGTGCTGCATTTGTACATACATTAAACTTTTACACAGGGTCTCACACACACTTGTGAGCTGCAGCATCTGTATACAAGAGTGAACTATACCTACACTGAAAAAGATGTACATTTACATAGTACGCTGTTTGAAATTGTACATAGTTTAAATGGATAATTCTGAAAGGTGACATACATGTCAATAAAGACTTAACATACACAGTACATACAGCTGAAACCAGAAGTTTACATACACTGATTAAAAAGACATATTTATATCATCATGTGGGCTTTCCCAAATCGTTTGAAGGCATAGTAATCTCACTGTATGTAAACTTCTGACTTTGAAGAATGTAACAAAAATAATCTCTAAAAAAAATCTCTCATTATTCTGGCATTTAGTAAATAGAAATAATTTTTGTAATCCTAACTGACATAAAATAGGAAAGTCTGATGTAATGGCAGACAGTGAGAAAAAAAAGTTTTATGTCTTTTAATACAGTGTATGTAAACTTCTGGTTTCAACTGTATGTATGTAACATATGTAATCTGTAAAAATGGTCAAAATCTGACACCCTTGCTGCCAGAAAAATCTATTAAAAAATGGAGCAATACTATAATGTTCAAAAACCCAAACTGGAAGGGGGGTAAAAGACCTCAGACAGAACCCGGCTCAGGGAAGGCAGGATAACAGATGGAGAGCAAGCAACAGAACAAGTTTCTGTCAATTTCTGTCCTCTACACTTTCACAACATAATGGAGTTCCTGAAATTCAGTTCAGGCTTTTGGTTTCTGTGGCACCCCGAGACCTGTCCACTAATATGAAACCTTTTCTCGAGGTGCCACTGCTTCTTTATGTCATTTCCAGCCAGAAAGCACCAAAAGCTATAAACCAACATTTCACGTGTGACAAAATAATTGGGGGATTTGGTGCACAGAGGTCATCGGTGGTACAGTACACGCTGCAGGGGGGGACGGAGGAGTCGTGACTTGCAGCCCGCTGCTGTGTCTCTTTAAGCGCAGGGCGGAGAGCAGATCTCCGATCGTCCACGAAGCGGATTAGAGCTCCTGCGTCTGCTGCTGCTGCTACATCATCATCTCAGCTGATCCGGAGGATTCCCTCTGCGGGAAACAAACAAGCCCTGTCTGTATGCTCAGCTCAGGACCCAGCCATGGACTTCAACGTCAAAAAACTGGCTTGTGATGCGGGGGTCTTCTTCACCCGGGCGGTGCAGGTAAGAGTCGAGTCACTAGCTGGACATCCGTGCAGCAGACCGAGCAGGCTCCGGTAATGTGGGATGGATTTACCGTCACACTGTAGCCGCCTCCTGCGTGGATGAAAAATAGCCTAGCTGAGGGCCACGAAGCTCCATTTCTCCAACACACACACACAAAGCAGCTGATGCCGGCTTCACTTGCTTCTGTGAATATATGAGCATTTAGTGGATTGTTTTTGAAAAGGGCTGTAAGCCGATAAAGGTTTGTCAATCCATTATTGATGGCTGTGATCGAGTGCATCAGCCATGTGACCCAGCAGACCGATCCGGTTCAGTCCCCAGCAGGGGCGAGTGCAGCAGCAACACATTCATTCATTCATTCATTCATTCATTCATGTATGTGTATTCTCGTCACTGACGCCGACCAGCCCCAGTCAGCTACCAAACCCAATTTAAAAAAATGGAAAAAAAAATTGCCACGAGTTGCACAAAACTGGTCGATCAAGATCTACACCCTACTAACGAATCTATAGGGTTCACTAAGAAATTGATAAACTTGTGCGTACTGATATGAATTGAATATCATTTTTAGCATGAAATACCTCTTAAAATACGCTCACCTGGTTAAGCCCATGTGTAGGGGCTACAGTCCCCGACGCAGCGGTCGTGGGTTCGAGTCCCGCTCATGGCTGTTTGCTGCAAGTCCTTCCCCCACTTTACTCTTTCTCTCTCTGCCCTGTCTAAGAAAGCCAAAAAAGGCCAATAGATATCTTTAAAAAACATCACAGAGGCTGCTATTTGAATCCTACCTTTCTATGTAATTTTTCTTGTGGTCAGATTGTATCTCGAATTAGTCAATACTTCCAATTGATAAGTAAACAATCTTAAGACATGCCAATTATGTAGGTAGAGCCAAGTTCTTGAGAAAGGTTTAAATAATAAGGTTTCACAGTGGAGTTCTTGCAAGGGCCATGTCACCCTGACAGCCTACATTAAATTCATGTTTTACTGTTTTGACAGCAGCAACATTTTAATTGTTTGTATGCAATGTAACCATTAAACTGGTTGAGTAGTGGTGCTCTGACGTGTGTTCACTAACAAGTGTGTTTGCTGCTGTAGTGTCATTTCACCGACATTCCTGCCCTGTTGAATTCAGTGCGTCCATGAATACAACAGCTTCAGATTGTGCTTCTGGAGCTTGTCCAAAGGCTTTGTGGAAAACACAGGAAACTAGTGACTGCAGAGGAAGGTCACACAACATTCTGAGGGGGGTGAAACAAACAACAGCTCTAATAATGCAGGCAACTCACCATATTAATCATATTTACTATTTTATATACATCTAAATTCTCCGTACATGACCCAGAGGTGGATAAAGCTGGTTGGGGACGCTGGGGCAAAATTTACCTGCAGGCTCGTGTCCTTCTACACTCTTTTCCTTGTTTATGGTTGTATTATGAGGTAATGGCGTCAGTACTTTCCCTGAATAGGAATAAAATGTCTAGAGTAGAGGACACAAAAGGGTACACAGACAACATGGATCTTTGGAATTGTTTTGCTTCTCTGTCATGGCTTAGTGGTGCATATAATCAAACAGATGTAGGATTCTAGTTTCATTCAATTCAATTCAATTTATTTAAATTACATTTTATTTCACAACATGTCAATTTCACTCTGCTTTACATATCACCTGGATCACTGTTGTGCAAAGAGTGGTAAAAGGCTAATTAAATTCACACAGTTTCGTCAACACACAATGTACCAGGGGCCTTTGGGGGTCCCTGAGGGCCTGGGGTGGGGCCTGGTAATCCTGTCCTGTATAGACCTGGTCTGCCGCCTGCAGTCCCTTAGGAATTATTTCTCTTAAAGAACTTCTAAAAGTCATTGGATCTCATCCATAAAGCTGGTGTCAGTCAAAGTTTCGGCCTGCTGTTATATGTCAGTAATGGTGAATTACTCAGTTGTTCGTCTGTCTTTAAGTCCAGCTGGCTGCTGTCATCTGTCCGTCAGACCTGGCAACCAGTAAAGAAAACAGAAGATGAAATCTGGTAACCATGCCTGTTACCACAGATGGTATTTCTTGGCCTCAGTTATTTAACAGAAGCAGTGGACAATCTCACAATTTATTGCACAGTACATATTTAACAGTTGTAGTTAGTTGTAAACTGATGTGTTAAGTATATTGCTACTGGCACACAATAAGATAATTCTGGTGTGATTTCCATAAACATAGGCGAGGGTTATAAGGGTCGGCAGTAGTGTTGTCACCATACTAAAATTTTAAACTCGATTTCGATACTGGGAAAAAAACTCGATACTTGATACCGATTTCGATACCACTGAGAAAAAAACACCTTTTTATTGAACATTCTTGAGGTAGAATATAACAAATTACACTCCTTTTGTCAAGATGCTTCTGTAACAGTGCAAACAAGGAATTATAAACAGTGTGTGTACTAAATACTGTAAACAGAAACTTTTAAAATATAAAAGTATCAGCAGAAGAGAACTTTTTTTTTTTAAAGTGCACACCAGACATGGTCATCGTTGCTGATGAAGTAAAGCAGGTATTGTAGGCTGGAATGATTTTGCTTGTGGATTAAACTAAAACCCCTGATTGCACCAACAACTTCAGCTCATTCACCTTTTTAATAATAATTTTAATCTAATGAAAAGTTAAAGAATCACCACAGATATTATGGTTCACTTGGATGCCTGCATTAATGTCTGTTCCAAATTTCAGGGATGCCAAAATCCAAAAGTAGCCGAGGTGTGCCAGACCTGGTGTTGATTATGCGACATGGTACACTGCTTGTATGTTGTAGACACATACCACTTTTTATTGGCTGGTGCAGCTTAATATTGGCCGTCACATTAGCACTGCCTAATACATGGTATGACCATTTCATGTCAATGATCTAACTTTACGACATAGACTGTCGTAAATGGATACGTTTTTTCTACCTTTTTCAAAATGTAGAGCAATAAAATTTTCTTCAAATGAATATGAAATTATTATGGTCCTTTCTGTTGAAGGTGCATGCTTTCAAACATCTGATTCTAAGTAATTGTTTTTTTTTTGGTATACAACAGAAGCGACATGTGCAGTATTTCCTCCTATGAACTACCAAAAACAATACTGACATTTCTTTGCAAGGAGAGGAAAAGTTCTACACAGCACAGGTCACACTCAGGTAGTAAGGTCGGGCAGTAAGGTTCATGGGACCAAAGTTCAAAACCACATTTGGCTGGTTCTGCCACCTGTGTGGACAGACACGTTGTCCTGAAGAAACAGCTCAAAGCTTTCCTTGCTTCAAACATTTGAGTTTTTGTGGACGCTGATATAAGGCTTTATAGGATACAGTTGTGGCCCAAAATGGGAGTTCTGCCTCGTTTCCAGGTGAGGTCGAGAACTTTTTGAAGTGACCTTGTATATTGAAAATGCTGACCCTAATGCAAAAAAAAAAAAAATGCTCACACCTGTGACTTCACATGAACCTAGCTGCATAAAATGAGCTGTGAACAGCAGGCCGTTGTTAGTTTTGAACCTATGTGCTGTTTCTATCTCCATGTCAGCATCATGGGTCAAGGTGGACAAGAGTTGCCAGAGAAACTGAAAGATTTGATTGTAAGATGAATAAGCAAAAGGATTCAGAAAGATTAGTAA